ATTCGTTGAAAAAGCCCAAAGTCATCGACTGAAAACCGGAGAGGTAGCAACCGTGAATACAAGCGTATGATGGCAGATATTCTCTCGTAGCGCTATGATAGGCTGTGAATTGACTGACAGGTATTCTATACCGCGCGCGCGCGCGCGCGCGCGCGCGCGCGCGCGCGTGTGTGTGTGTGTGTGTGTTGAAAGTTAAAGTAAACTTTATCTGATTAAAAAAATGAGACGATCTTTTAATACGAGGCAGTGGATGAATACCGATATAAATAGTAGTGGAATCGATATAGTTTATAATTGTGCCCGCGATCGTTGCGCTTCGTCGACTTGCTGCGTCAACGAGCGAAAATCCATATCGTCTAAAAAACTATTCTCTTGCGCAGGTAAATCATACGTACGTCATACCTTGCACTTATAGGGCCTATATATTTTTATATGTTGCGGGTGTATAACGGACGCGCCCGCGTCACGTGTGTGCTGTATTTGTACAGCAATATAATGAGGGGATCGATCTGCATGTGCGGCACACTATCCACGGCTTTTCGTCGGACGCGCGAAATTGCCGTCGTCGTAGTTCGCGTTATAATTTTATCGGGGACCGATACTAGCCACGACTATCTGGCGTATAATTGATGCTATTATTAAAATTATAAATTAATGAGGCAACGATTTATAATTAAAAATATAACGGTGCTCATGAATAATAATAATTCGGAGATAATTGTGCGCGTAAAATTGTAAATATCCATATAATAATTATATGGGAGAGATAACAAGTGCATCGATTGCGTCATATATAACACTTTATGTTGTGAGTGTCGCACAAAAGGATTTTTTAATGAATAAACGAATTCTGTATTTTGCGTGGAGGGGGTTAATTATTAGAATTATTCGTCGCGCATTAATTATGCTAAATTATTAGCGTATTTCGATTAAGAGCTATCAAGTAATTAACTGACATATTAGAGGAAGTTTAAAAATTCAATTTATGAACGGTTCAAAATGTCGATGTTTATTCACTCGCAATTTCGAAAATTATTTCTCCTCTTGAATTGTTATTTTTTACATTATGTGTGGAAAATTAAATGCCTTGATGTTTTCATTATTTTTTAGATATTGTTCTCGCAACAAACATCAGAATAATTGATGATGTTCTGCGATTGATTACAATGGGGAATACACTGCATGTGTACAGTAGAAAGTCGATTGTTGTTACTTTGATACGTTCAAACATTTTTAACCGAACGCACCGCAATTGAGTACGCAATATAATGTCGACATATAACGTAAAATGTTGAAAATACAAATTATTAAAAAGTCACGAGACAGTTTGAAAGAGAGTTTTGCGACGCAAAGTATCTTCTTAGCGATTCCTTCGCACGATGTTCTGCGCCAGGTCGCATATCGCCAGTCAACCGTCAGACAGGACGATTTTCCCGGAACAGACGGCGACGTATCGCCGTGTCGTACGCGATGCGCGAAAAAGTATGTATGAGAAAAGTTGCAGATGCCATCGTCGAGGGCGTAGTCGCGCACACGGAATCCCCGATAAATCGCGCGCCACACATCGCACACCCGGTCAAACCGAAAAGAAAAGCAATTTGCATTTTGTTTTCCGTGTCATTTCACGTGCTTCGAGTGACGCGAGAGGGTCTTGACGGCTATAGCGAATGGGATTGCGTTCCACTGTTGTCGACGGGAATGTCAATCTCTTTGTAGACAAATCGCTGCACGGAAGATCGGCCAGGAAGTTACGTTCCCGAAATTTTTCCGTGAAAAGAAGAATATATGTACACGTACGTGTCTCAAAATGAAATAATTATATCTAGCATAGCTGCCGCATCGTTATCGTGTTTTGTCTCGTTTCTTTTTATCGCTAAAACAAACCTCGAGATAGCGTGTTCCCTGGAATCCATTCACTCTGCTGTAACTGCCTGCTTTTTCTATCTCTCGGTCGTCGGTACTTGGATACAGGTAGGAGTGAAACATCTGACGGGGTAAAAAATCGCAAACACGGTTAGGGCATCACCCGCCCGGCAGCCATTATTGCCTGCACTTCAACCGGTATTCTTGCCAGCGAAGTTCGGCTGACAAATCACGAGGTTCTGATAAAGAGACCACTTTGGCCCTTGCCGAACTGAACTGACCGTTCTGATTCGTCGGAAGAACCGCGCGAAGGTTGAGAGATTTGCTGGCATTCATGACGAACATGGGGGGTGGGGGGGGGGATGAGAGAAAGGGACGCATGTAAAGATGCAAGAAGTCGTACAAATGGACTGAGATAATTCTTTTTTCTTCTTTTTTTGCAATAAATCTTCCTCTATTCTACCGGCGACCGCACTACGGAACTATATCTCTGGGCCGCGAGGGATCGAAGGGTAACGGGAGCACGCGTTTATCATGTTCACGTATTGTAGGCGATTCTTCCTCCTCCACTCGGCGGAGAAACGAGAGTCATTCCGTTCAAGAACGCGATCATGGAAACAAGCTCGCTAATAAAACGACGAGGGTGCGGTAATGAGTTCCACGAATAAATATCGTGATTCAGCATACGGTCTCCGTTCCTACTTCTCACGCGCGAATTAATTCATTAATTAACCCCTTCAAGATGATTTTTTTATCGTTTAAAATTTACATTTCGGAATGTTTTAATCTCGTAAACGTTAAAAAAATACTCTCTTTTGAAAAATACAAATGTATATAAGTTGAAAGTACATAATAAAAATAATATAACACGATTTTTTCTATTTTTAAAATGCATTTTCACCACATAATAGTAATATATTATATATTGCAACGGTTTCTAAAATTAATATATCTTAAATTTATTTAATTTATTTTTTCTACGCAAATTTAGGGGCGTTTTGTCGAATGTCAACGTTTTAATCGCGGATATCAGTCAACCTCAGCGAGGTTTTCGCGCAATAATAACCGGCGTTTCCGAAGGAGTTGAGGGATATAATTCATCGTCCGCGTTGACTTAATTGAAATCCATCTCGTCGCGCGCGTTCTCGTCTCGCTCGGCGTAAACGTATCAGCGAGCATTACGGGCTTGTGCTCGCGCGTCGAGGAACGGCATTAAATCTCACGGTAGGAATTAAATTTCGCGCAGTCTCTTACGGTGGACGCACGTCCGTGGAAATGGCGACTGAAATTCGTCTTTGTTATTTTCGCGTCGACGGGAAATTAAGTCAGAACTGTCAAGTCTGACGAATCCCCTCGTCGTTTTATCAGCATCAAGTTTACAAGCGGGATAAAACATGTTTGTTGCATATAGGCACGCGTTAAAGAGACAATTGAGAGTGACACTAAATATATTTTTTGAGTATTTCGCGTGGTCTATAATTTAACACAAAGCGTCTTTCCAAAATTAGTGTGCATGTGGTTCATTTAAAGCAGTCCGATGTTATCACAATATATGAAATGAAAACTCATTTACCTCACTATCCATTTGAAAATATAACAAGTAGAAAACCGAATTTAAATCTTCTTAATTTAGTTTTTAATCTAGAAATTGGAGCTCCCTAGAAATCAAACGAAACATACACAGAACATTGATTAGATAATCTACATTTTTCTTGTGCTGCTTTCGGCAATTATCGTGGCGAATAAATAAAACGGGGGGGGGGAGGAGGGACGATGGAGATGTAACTTTACGCACAGTGAAGTAAATGGTCGTAATCTCATGAATCTCGGGAGGAGGAGCGTGCTTAAATGTATGGAGGCACTCTCGGGCCGCGCCCAAATTAGCGAATACCCCGCGAACAATCTGGTCAGCCGGAAAGGAGATTAATTTAATTTGCATTTAATCAGTGTGCAATCTTCTACATATGAATATTCAAAGCATTCCTCCCTCCGCCCAATGTTTCGCCCTCCTTCCAAGAACAAAACACATGATGTACCATATAGCATTCATTGACTGTACTTCACCTGCAGTATTGTCGCGTTCCGTGTCATTCATTTTACTTTTGCCTTTGCCCCTGATTTTTTTATTCGTGCGATCGTAGCCGTGGGGTCGCGCCGTAAATTTGTATTGCACGTCGGGGAAGTGCAATTTGAAACTAGTCAAAGGTGCGCGATTGTGCGTTATTTTTGCATGGAATTTCTCTTTTATCCCAGGTGCACAGTACAGTTTTATGCAGTCTTTGTGCGAGAGCCGATAAAATTATTGTTGTCGCTCGGAACGTTGTAACGGTGCAGTAAACGATGAAATAATGAATACGTACGGTATAATAAAAAATGCGACAGATAGAGATGTTTCAATTCCGAATATCATTTTTACTGAAATTAATTGCAATACTAATTATATATTGAAATTGTTTTGCGTAATACGAGAAAAATATTTATTAATTTCCGCGAGCTGTAACGCGATAAAAATCACGCGACAGTACGAATCGTATAATTATTGACACTTGATACGAAAGAAAAAAAGCGAGACCGAGCACATTTTGCAGTTGATTACGACTTGCTTTGCGAATATTGATGAAAAAAGCGAACAACTTCGCTCGTTTTTGGCCGACTAAGCCTTCGGGAAAGCCCTCATCCTTTTAGTGTTGCGTTAAATATTCACGAGAATCTGCGTTTAAGTGTTGAGTTACCGAGAGTCGTCGTGAAGATCCCGGGCGAATTGGTACCCTCTTTGACTTCATTTAGCAACGTCCCTGGAGAGAAACGTGCTGCCGACGTTGCCTACACAGCGACCTTAAAGACAAAGGGCTCGTTAAGATTGCCGCGTTCAAAATCAGTACGCCCACGGTTAAAAGGTGCCTTGAAGTTTTCATTAATCCACCGTCGTGAACACGGTCGTCGGATTTATGGTTAAATCTTAAGAAATAAGATGTTTATACTTCTTCGGCATTGCTTTCTGAAATATTAAAGCGTAACTCTCTCAGAGTTCTCGGAGTATACAGTCTCGAGTTTTCTTAAATTTTTGGATAAAACTATTTTATCTTGATCGTGCTAGTACGAGGATTAGTTGTAAAGTAACATTGAAAAAACTTATATTAACATTGAAACGATATTTATTTTAACTTCTCGGAAAATCTATTGTATTCATTTCGTTTCTTCATTTAACTTTACAAAAGTTCGTTATCTCGTTGCAATTGGAGTCACAGAGTCGCCGAGAGTTCCTACGTATCTTCGTCGACTTCGTGAGAAGCAATATCCTCCCAATGGTCTTCTTTAAAGCTCCGGTCGATCCAATCAGAAGGGCGAACTCCGGTGCGGAAATCAGCGAGGCCCACGGAGCTGAGTAGCGTGTTCAGTTCCGACAGGCCGCTATCGTAAACCGAGGGCGACGCGTCAATATATCCGTTAGCTATCGGCACGTCGCCGTATGGCAGCTCCGGCGAATTAGGCCGGAACTGTTCGATGTAAACATCATAATCGTTGTAATCGATATAGTTCCCGTTTCGTTTTACCGCGATATCCCACGGCCCGTAGAAACTGCGTCTTCCGACGTTTTGCCAAACAGATCTGCGTCCTATATTATAATTACAAACGTTCTTGTTAGCTTGAGAAACGAAATAATATTTTTTCTTTACACCAATCCGCAAGTAGTTTTGCAATATTTAAAAATATAAGTAATGAAAAGCATCTTATTTGGTTAGAGCTCAATCAACACAGTCACGTTCTTGAAACACAGCCTTAATCTGTAGTTAGAGCAGTAATATCGCGAATCAAATTAATAATAAATTATTAATAAATAATGCTAATGAACATCATTAAACTAGTACAAAGAATTCATCGCGAAAAGTACCCCAGTTAAGATATATGAAGTACTTTTCACTTATTTGTTTGCTATTTACATATCAGTGGATTTTCACTTATCATTTGAAAATATCTTTATTTTTAGTGTCGTGTGAGCAAGTTTACAAGTATCTTATCCCTTTTGAACATTATGATTTTTTAATATCTCTATAAGATTGACATCTCATTTTTAGAATTTTGATAATAATTGAGAGAATTCTGGCTCTTTTCTTCAAAGAGTTGTGAAACTCCTGCTTCTTTAAGCTTCTATCGTTTCAGACAGCTAACTAGAAAGTTTACTTACCTGATCCAAAATCGCTTATAGGTGCCGACGTGACTTCGATCGTCGCTGTTAGAGCAAGAACGAAACGGAAAAGACTACGGTGTTCCATTGATAACTGACGCTCTGTTACCTCTCAGTTTACAGCTGACACTGGCCTTTAGCATTTCGCACAATTGCTTATATATACGGCTGCAACGGTAGGCAAAATGTTTGCCCGTGTGTTTAGCAGGTGATGAAGTCCTTGCAGCAGTCGTAGCCTTCCGCAGGAACTAATTTAACTAATTATTGTTTGTTCATTGATTGAGATAATTCTCTTAAATCAACTCGGATGGCGGATCTTCAAGACCATTGTAATTTATTATTCGCGAAATGTGCATATCGCCAAAAATATTGAATATAAATAATGCTACGTTTTTTTAATCATATTTATTTAATAACAAAATTCACTTACAATACAAAATAATATAAAGGAGCCACTTCTATTTTTGTGGTTTGTCTTTTTTTTTTGTTACTTGTATTAGAAGAATGTAAGAAATTGCTTACATGGTTAAAATAATAAGACATAATAGTAAAAAATTGTACATTATAAAAGCTTTTAAATAATAGATATTATATAGAAGTTAGATGCAGCTTGTTAGCTTTAGTTAGTGAAGTTTTCTGGACATTCACGCCTGGATGTTCTAACCGCTTCCCCTTAGCGACCTCTTTTTAACGACCCCAGCCAGCACTATTAAAAGAAATAATTTTTCTTCATGTTAGTTGCTTCATTATAGCGTGTTTAACTTAAATGCTCGCTCTTTGTGCCCTCGTTACTTAAATTTACTATAGTTCTGACATCTTTTTAATTAAATGCTCCGCGTGTTCATTTTGCTGTAACATTTTCATATAACGCTTATTACAAGAACTGAAACGAAATGAAGCAAAGGTTTACGAGTTTTATAAAAATAAAAAAAATTTCCGTTTTCATTCCGCGTTTAATATGCCTCTTAAGTTTATAAACACGCGTATAGAATACTTGGCAGAATGTGTCTTTCTCTTTTAACAGTAAATTTTTATGGCAATATTGTTTATTTTTAAACGGGATTGTATATATCTAATCAAAATCTACAAAATTAATTTCAATTCTTACCCGACGTTAACGTAAGACACAGTAGATGATCTTCGCTTTCCGTCTAAAACTTGACCTCCGTTAACAATGTCGTCGTCACTGTCGTAAATAGGTCTTCTGTACCAGAACAATGGAAATCCGTAGTATGCCGTGTCTCTAGCAGTTAATCCCTCCCGACCGCCTGTAGAGATCAAGATTATAACATTAATTATGCAGTGTCTTTAATAGCGTATTATTCAGAATGCACCAACAATGAAAAAAAAATTTTTTATTTAATTTTGTGTACTCTGGTATCAATGCATTTGTATTACAATTGCATTTGAATTTTTATTCAATAAAAAAATTTCTTTACAAAGGAAATTAATTTTTATATATGTATATATCATAGTACTTTTTTTTATTATAGGATTATGGAAATATATAAATTTTCTTATATATATAAAATTATATTAATTCCGATAGTCACAAGATTTCTTTTCGAAATGTGTGTTTTCAAGAATATTATATGTCACAAACTTCAAATTTTGCAAATCTGATTTGAAAATTGAGACTCAGCTATGATTAGAGTTGCCGTTTGTATATGTATATAATTGATAATCAGACGGTAAGGAAGTTTATGCCAACTCACCATCGTCAAATTGAGGAAACGGTAGGGCGTTAACGAAGTTAAGCACCGCGAAAACAATTGCGAGGTACGTCGCGAATCTCATTGCACTCTTCGTCTCACCGGACATAAATCGTACTTAATAGCTGTTGAAGATCGGTCTGAATTACTGCGCCACATTCTACGCGTTCTTATATAGCTCATCCTGCGCGACCCATCTTGGATTTTTTTTTATTGAATAATGAGTGGAGCGTTAATTCGTAGACGTGACTCGGGTGACTAATATCGCTAACGAAGTCGACATACGGTAGCGTTCGCTGTGGCCGGCGGACTCACTGTTTGTTACGCATATGCCTCGAGCACGCACCGGGAAGAATTTCGCACGTCTTTGTTGGCAAACGACAACTGCGCCAACTGATGACTTCACTCTTATTCGGATATTTTTCTTGCGATGTAAATCGCAATACGCGACGGAGAATCAAATCCGTAATTTTTCCATCATTGGTTCTTATATTTATTCGCGAAACGGAATACGCACGATGTTTGAAGGTGATACTCTTTCAGTGAGTCGGTAGCTGAAATGCGCAATTGGGACCTATGTAAATTATGAACGCTTTTTTTTTTTTATCGACGCTTACGTAATTTCCCAGGGGGAGTCAATGCCGCACGAGTCGCGCGCGAGCAGAAACGCCTGCCGTCCGTGTGTCGGCGCATTTCTCGTGTGTATTTGCGCGATCGGATGCGAAACTCGTTATCGATCGTCTCGCTTCACTGAAACTACACCGTACGTCGCTGTAGTTTAAAGTACTCTCGCTTGACGCGAGACGGAACCCTTGGATTCTCGAGTAACAGTCGTTCTCGATCGGATTTACCGGACTTTACAAGAGCACTGTCCGCGGCGGAACAAACGTCTCGTCGAGTTTCCGTCCGCAAGCGCGCGGCGGCGCGGCGTCGCTGCTTTGTACGTTTAATTGATACGAAACTTTATTGGCCGTGTACACCGTTGTTACGCCCGCGGACGAATCATTACGAGCTCGTCTAATTTACCGTTCGTTACCGTAAAGCCGTAAAGTGTCTTCGGTCCTGGTTGCTTCTGAAGCTTGACGTTTATTCCTCACGGGTTGGAGATGTAGAATAAATGTCCGATCTCTCGGCGACTCAGCGATGAGAGTCTCGAGGGAAGCGATCAAAGATGATCTATCACTTGAAGTATCGTTAGGAGTCCTGTTGCCGATGTACGAAAAATTCCGTACGACAATTATTGCTAAACGTCGATTATGATTATAAGTAAAAGTTGAAAAACAAATGTTTTCGTACAACTCTGATATCGTTTATTAAATAAATCATTTTTTCAAGTAAAAGGTAATTTCTCTTGTTTGTTAACTTTTTAACTTGATTAACTTAAACGTAATTAGTGGAAGTGTATAATATGTATACGCGGATTAAAGAGAGTCTGCGTAATTTAATTATTATTAACTCAATACGAATAAAAAAGTAATTATTCTAATGCAGCACTTTATCACTGTCTCTAGATAGGAGTTTTGTTTTCAGTCACTTCTCTCTGATATCGTAATTTGTTTCTGCCATTATGTGTGTTAGTAAAGTTTCTGTTATGTAATTATAATGGAATACTCGGTGTTTTAAAAATGTTTCCAGTTGGAATAATTATTTCTCACTTTTCCTCTCGTTGCGTCTTTAAAAGGAAAGTTTCTTTCGATATGTTTGTTGTATTTTTGCTGAAATTTAATTAGCGCAACATCGAGAGAAACTTGATGAAGTAATTTTATTTACTTTCTGATTTCGAATGATATATATTTTAACATATCCACTTCGTATGTACATATCCTCTAAAATCTATTTTCGCGATGGATTGAAAATTCTCTCAAGGCCATTTTCTTCGCCACTGAACTTGGAGAATGACGCTTGGCATCTCTCGAAAATTTTTTCCAGCTCATGGATACAAAAAGAGGGATCTTCTTTCTCAGTGTCCGTAAAAAAAAAAAAAAAAAATACTCACGTCATGAGATTCTCGATGGCGACCAAGGCGCTTGACGCTTCGTCGATCGATTATCGTTATTAGGTTACCGCTAACTGGCGCTTTGAAGTAAACCGTACGGGCGCGTGCGTCTTTACTTCTCACAAAGAATGTCAAGAAATGCTCCTATGAGATTTTTTCCAATCATCGCGTTACAAACAATATACGATGCGAAACGGCGCGACGGGTATCAAGAGCTCTGTTGCATTGATAAACGTTTGTTTGAGCGAAGTGTGCGAAGATGGATAATGCATCGTCACGTAGCGTGAATGAACAAACGTTCATTGAATAGTTAAGATCTCGTGACGCGTTTCCGGTTGCAGAATACAGAAATGTATTGCGTTTCGCGTTGTTTTCACTCGCTTTTGTTGTTTTATCGAGTTACAATGGTGTCTGCGCATTCTTTTTCTGTCTCGAATGTTGCCAACGTTTAACGGTACCTTTGCTGTATATTTAATATTAAAGCCGGAACTCGAATGGCATTTGTTATTTAAGCTTGAATTTACAATTAACTTTAACAATCCATAAAATCATCTCAAATATTTAAAATAATAGGAGTGCGAGCGTAACAGACAGTATATCAGTCTGTTATGCTAGAGGTCCCGGGTTCGAATCCCGGCGGAACCAACAAATTTTCTTATTTTCGTGTCTTCTGTTCGGAGATCTATCGAGAGTATCCTTTGCCTCGAAAACCTCTCTCGAAAACAATTGTTCGGAATCGACTTTAATACCTGGAACTTGAGGTCCCAGGTGAAGAGATATGAAGAAAGTGATGGGCCAGAGCTTGATTTTGGGCGCTATCGGAATGAATAAATGAATTTAATGTACGAACGTATAATGCGAATGTATGAAAATTTTATCGTGGTTCTGTCAGGAGTCGAACAGACAAGTGTGCTGTCCCTGCACCATAGCTCGCACTTTTTTTTTTAAATATTTGAGATAATTTTATGGATTGCTTAAAAAAGGAAAAAACGAATGATAGAGAGTTCAGCGATAAGCTCTACCCCAGAAAGTCACGGATCATTGATCCCATAGAGAGGTGATCCTTTATACCGCGCGGATACTCGACAAGATATCGCTGTTATCCAATAATTCCTCTGTCGACGAGCTTTCCTCTCTCAATCTTCCGCTTCTTGTAGGGTCCAAGACCTAACTTCTTCCCGTTTTCGTGATTTGGCGTAGTCCGATCACGTAGTGCGTTTCCCGGGTTTCCCGGGTTCTCGTCTGTCGGAGCAGCACTTCGGGGATTCGCTCGAGGTCCCGGGTGGTTCAACCAGTAATACTCTATGCCGTGACGTCTTCGTACTGATGAAGGCGATTTGCCATCGAATCACTTCGGCGATGGCCTTTCGTAACAGAGAGAATAGTGAGTCACTAAAAGAATCAGCGTGTGCCTCGATAATGAAAACTTTAATTGATGATGTCACTGCGGAAGGTTGTAGTATAGCCGAAAGAAAATTAAATATGTTAATAATCGATATATTGACTGAAGCATATCAATTATTAATGTGTGGCTTCACTGGTTAGGTTTAATCGGTTAATCGAAAGATTATACTCTCTCCGGTAAGTGTTCCTTGGCATCGATCTTGGTGATAAATATATTTTATCCCCCATGCAAGGAGATGACCATCGAGCGAGTATCCCATGACCTTCTTCCTTGGCTCTAATGGCGGATGCCATCACGCGGACACTACGCTATTTGCGTCATGTAATGCGGCTGTAGACGATCGCGGACTATTCTTAGGGTCGATCGCGATGATCGGACGACATTCGTTCGGAGGAGAGGAAGAGAGGGCATCGAGGCACAACGTCCCGTTGGCCGCCGGCGCACAATCCGATCATTCGCCGGTCGGCTGATCACAGAAAGAAAGAGAGAGAGAGAGCAGCTTTCCCTCTCTCGTGAAGGGGATAATAGTTCACTGCGTTTAACCGTCGATAAGCGAGCGTTGTGCGCGCGTTGCGCCTTGGTGTTGGTGTTGCTACCTGAAACGACGGAAGCCTAGCAAGGTGTGGTGTGCCGTCAGCACGTTTCAGTCTGATGTAAACACGAAGCCCAGGTCGGGCTCCAGTGCACCCAACACCGTCGACGGGAACGGCCACGCGCGATTTTCGTCGAGTGACCCTTTCGTCACGCGACACGCCTCGCCGAGCTCGTCGAGTGTTAACGATCGCGCGAAAGGATCCACGGTCCGAAATTTAATCCGTTAAATCCGTTTATTTTGGGCTAACGTGTGAATTTCGGGCGATTAAGAGCCGAACGGTTTGAGATTCTTGTCGTCGTTTACGCGTACCAGTGTGGTGATATTTAGCATCGTAGAATTTTACGAGTTAATTATAGCCGTGGTGTTAACCGTGGTGAATTTTAATAGTTAGCTGATTGACGGACATGTGAAACTCATAAGATTGATAACATCGGCTTTGCAAATGTCGTGTTTTTGCAAAACACTTGAAAGTATTTTTAATTAATGAATTGCTGATCATTATAAGTGAGGTGAACTTTGCAAGCAAATAGACTTTTAAAATTTTTGTGAGAGGGACTTTCTAAATAGACTTTTACAATTTTTAAGTTGGTAACATAAAATTATTTCTTTAATCGATTGCTCTAATTTAATATTATTTTTATAACCGGCGCTTATACGAACCTGATACAACCTCGTTTAAGTGCACGTTGAACCTATTCAAGCGAATCGTTTGTCAACGTGAGCGTGACACACGCACTGATTAGATAAGATTACCATTTTTGTCGAGAACATGATCTTGCACGATATATACAATTTGTCAAAATGGCAAATATTAGTTTCAAGAAAACGGTCAACGGAATCGTTAATGCGTTAGCTTTTTGCTGTAAACTGTACCGCTAAAGCTGTTTATGTCGTTAAAAATATTCGTGCTAAGACAAATTGTTCCATATGTCGATATTCAACAATGTGACGGTGTAGTGAGAATAAGTTAAATAACCGGAACTGTGTCGAGCTAGTGACTTTGATTTTCACAGATCCTCATGTTCACGGCACGAACTTCGCAACAACCACTCAGAGAGCTTGTATCAATAGATTGCTTAATAGGAAATGTAATTTAGCTAAGAACATAGAAGGAGAATTGTTGCGCATTTATTCGTCCGATTTAATCTACGTACGTAACGTTGTTGAGGACACAACAATGCAATGTGTAATTAAATTCGCGACGAATAGGTCGCATAAATTCATCAAATCGCTGTAAGGACTTATGTAAAACGCTATTTCGTCAATACGTGAATTTCGGAACGAACAAACTTGCAGATAAAACATTAATAAAACGGCGCGGTCGCCGGCCGTTCGTATAATTAAAGAAACATCCTACCGACGAGTTGCTCGTGTAAATACCCCTGCGGTCGCGCCCAGTGTCCGTCCGGTCTGCGGAGGGTGTGTCTTTCATGTGCAGGCTAGTCATTAACCACGACTGAGGGGACACATTCCGCGTTGTCCTAGAGGGATAAAGTTAACTCCGGGGCGCGTTTTGCTAGCAAAGTAATGGCAGCCGTACACGACACATACGAACGCGCGCTTGCCTTGTCCTTCGGATGATAAAACCCGTTTAAAGGTTTTTCTCTGTCCCTGAAAAACTGTGAGCTTACGCAAATACGAGAAGTACAATATAAATGTGATTGGATGTAATGTTAATTTAAAATTAATTGATCAGTTAAATTAATGAAGTGAGAAGGAAGATAAATTATTTCACAGGGTTGGAGATACGTTTATTTTGTATAGAATATATATTATTGATGTCGTAGTACAATGACAGTATATATACAAAATTAGTCGGGATCATTTCTTATCATCTTTTGAGCAATTTGATTGAATTATTTGCTTCTTAGGCGAGAAATATCGAAGAAGTTTTCGTATTATACGCGATCGAAAATAATCACGTGGAACGAATAGATTGAACAAAGTCAAAACGGTAAGCTTTGTGTTTGAAACACAAACTCGCCTTCTTGATGTTAGAACAATGTAGAAAGGCTTGATACAGGGGGAAGCGTTTGAACTTTCTACTTGCATACGTTGCGAATCGATTTTGCGAACGTTGATAACTTTATCTCGAAAATCTTAGTGACATTCGCGGTGGTTCGCGAGTGTATGTGTGTGTATGTGTGTGTGTGGTGTATCTGTGGAATTCTCTGCGAGATGACGTAAAAAGGTGCATATTGCGTGATCTACTGCTCGGCTGGTTGCTGTTGCGTGTTTCTCGTTCTTCTACAACATTGCGCAATGAGCCTGTGGCGGTTTGGACCTTTTAAAGATGGTACGTTCAGGCGCTCTCTCTCTCTCTTTCTATATATGTATCGTGTTCATACATCGTTATAAGAGCAAGTTAATTACTCTGTCCGAAGTACATGAAGAAAGTTACTCACGAAGATAAAAGCAGAATCTCTATCTTCTATCATTTTAAGCTGATATTCTTTTCATTTCCTTTTACTCGTTTGTCTGTACATATTTCATTCAGGATTTATGTCTTTATACTCCGCGCGTGTTACGCTTTCTCATTCGCGAAGTAATTTATACGTGATACCTCCATGTAATAATATTCGCAAGCGAAATTCATAATTACTGTGGATTAAAGATGAGCGCGTCAAGAGGAAGAATATTCGATGCGGTGCGGTAACCGAGAATGGTGAACGCGGAATTTATTGCGCTTATCTAAACACGCGTATACACTCTCGAGTGTCACGCGTGTACACTCCGATGAGCCGAAAAAAAATCAATTGTCGATTTACGTGACTACCACGGGATAAAAACTTCTCTATATACCAGACGACGGGCTCTACATGCGGGATAGAATTTATCGCTTGCATATATACGCGCTACGTTTACATTGCGCGATGTACTCTCTATTCCTTTGTGAAAATTTTGACTGCGATTGCGCGGCTGCGATTAGAAGATCACGAACTTTCGTGGAACGGCGAGATATTTGCATTTGCATACTCTAAAGCTGAAGAACTTAAATGGTTGTGCCGGCACGCCTCGCCGTTGCTATATAAATGACGATAAAATCTTTCAGCGGGAAATAGTTAAATCATTTTCCACCTGGAAAATTCTCTGGAAAGCTCTTGTGGTCTTCTTCAGTTTCAAGGATGATAAGAACTTTTTTAAGTAATTTATTATCGATTTATCCACATTACTTCATTGCGGGACACAGCAAACTTTTTTCGTCAAAATGAATGAAAATAATGTCTAAAATGTATTTTTTTAAATACATACCTTTTTTTAGATAAACTATTTTGGCATTTGAAACTTTTTGCTATATACAATAGATATATTTTTATAAACATTAAAGCTATATTTTTTATTTTATTTGTGCAACGAATATTTATTAAATTGGCGTATAACGCTGTGTATATTTAAATTTATAAGTAACTGTCGCGCCCGGAAGTACTCAGTTTACTTTAAAGAGAAAAATTGCACGAATAGCCTATTTCAGCATCGTTTCCAAAACATTTCCGACCGGAGCACTTCATCTAAATAAAGAGCATATCTTCCACGTCGACTTGGCAACGAACGACAATGGGCATTTAGGTCATCGATTGCTCTCGAGGGATGCAGCGTCCTTTTCGGAGCCTTTCGGATCTCGTAGATGAGCCTTGAATTTTCAATGTCAGTGTTTGATGCATACATAAGTCATTATTGTTACTATAAATAATTTCGCATATTTATATAGAAAGCTTATAATATCAAATTTTTGTGTTTAATCGATAACATTTTTGATAAAGTTTTTTTATTTTGACAAACATTATCTTAGCACCACAGGCAATTTGATGTAAACAAAACTTCAACTCCGACTTGATTTAAATCTCGAACGATTGAGTTTGATATGATAATATTTTATCGTGTCAATAAAAAAAATTTTCACTCACGTCTACCGTTTCGTACTTCCGTTCAAAACTAAAAATTCAAATTTATTAGTTTATTTCATAAATTTATATAAAATGTAACACACGTTACATAGAAACTTTTAAAAATTTAATTTAGAATATAAAATGTGGCAAATAGCAGTCTCTCTCTATTATTTTATTAAAATATTTTATATATATAGGTTAAAAATAATGCTGTAAGTTCGTAACCGAGATCATTACGTGTATACACTGCACACATAATATATATATATTATTTATAACTTCAGCATTATTTGCTGCAATAAATTTATTTTCCGTTGTAAACGTAAATCATAAATATTTTTACCGCTGTAGCTTTCGATCGTAGCGAGAGTGTACTACTTTTCGATAAGGCGTTTTTTATTTTTCCGAGTGATCTCCGGGTTGCCTTCGGCACGCCGCAAATACGTACCCAGTGTTGAAAAGAGGCTGCGCCGAGGGAAGGGTTGTGCCGCGCGCGTACGAGAACGTCTCCAGAGAGTCGCTGACGTTGCGATGTCTCATTGTTATGTAACCGTTGTCGTACCCCACGGAAAATCACTCTTCTCCCACCTTTGCGCCTGACATTTCGTGCTCTCTCTCGCCTTACCAACCTGAACCGACCCTTCGATTTGATCCGCGGAAGCGTGTCTGGCACTTTCGGATTCCAACTCGGCTTTCGCGAAGCGAAATGTATGGCAGTGAAAAAAATTTGCGTGCATGCACAGATGAGTTGTCGAGCACTCGGCGAAAGCCGAGATGATGTTTGTCGTTTAAAGTGCCACTCTCACGAGCTCGCGGGCTTAGATATGAGATACAATATGACACTCACACGACCGCAATGGGGATGGATCCTTGCTTTCCCAGCGGCTCGCTATATGAAGTGATTCATGCTTTTCTGTTTGTGTGATATTTGATCTCGATGGGAATTTAGGGATACAAAAGTACCACTTTTTCCATCCAGCGCTATGTTTTCTCCCTTTGTGTTTCTAATCACTGGAGGTGAAACACTACTATATTTATCATTAAAAATAAAATATAACATAAATGATACACTTAAATGGAGAAGCTAATACCTATGTAAGCATTAATTGTATATACATTTAATTACGATTATCTCGAATCTTGAAATCTTGCACAATTTTCATTTCATTTTCATGAAATAATAATTCGCGAGCGCGCATTTGAAATTTAAGTGTAAAGTTTTCTTATCAAATTATTGGATCGAACAGCGAAAAAGCTTTTAAATGAAGTTTAGAGAAAGTGTCTATTTCTTTGGAGCCTCTTTTGGACAATTTAACGAGCAGCGTTAACCTCGCGAACATAAATTTCTCATAACCCCGATTCCACGTAGATACCTACTTTTATCGGGTCGTCGTCGCCATTTATCAGAATTTTCAGCAACGTCGTTTTGTCCGGGATGTTCCACGGCGTGCTCCATAAAAGCGTCTCCGAAGTAGACGTCGCGCTATCGCTCGCGTACTACCTCATTTTCACTTCGGCCATGTGACGCGAAAGATACCCTCCCGCCGCCCTCCTCTGCGTCTCTCTATTGCGCTCTATCAGTAAATTGAGGTTTATAAAACCGAGTGCTAGATAGTTCTCCAGGAAAATAAGTGCCAATCTACTTACTTACACCGTTCCCCGCTTTGTTCCCTCCCTCTCGTCTCGACTTTTATATTTCTTCATTTTCTGCTGATCGCGAAAGTTTCGCGTTGACACGACCGGATAAGACGCGATCGCGGATGAAAGCACCGTCGGGTGGATGGCACGATAGCAGGGGCGGGAGCATATCACGATAGAGTGCACGGTTATTGAATAAGGCAAGAAATATTGCAGGAACGCGACGTCGAAAAACTCGATGAGCCACCGCCGTCCCATCATCGCCGTTGGGGCGACGATCGGCTTTGTCTCGCTTTTTCTCGCAAGACGGCCCCCCTCGCTCGCCGCATCGTTCATCGATTTTACAGCCTCGAGCGCTCTCGATGTGATATAGTAACGATAATACGTCGCAAACTTGCGCAAAGTGCGCACGGAAATTGGTAAACAGACTTCGCGGAAGCCGATCGGTCGTCGCTGTCGTTTGCGCAAGCGGCAGTCGAAAAGAAGTAATTTAATGCGCGTGGAAAAAAAAAAAGAAAAGTCTCGATTCAAGAGTGCGTGACGAAGTCACGGTAAAAATTGTCGGCAAAATGTTATCAGAAAATGAGAGCAATAATGATAATCTTCTTCATGCCCATTCAGGTCTGTACGTTACAATGATTGATGAAATAATGTATGTTGGAAGAATTCGTTTTGGCTCGTGAAATATCGGCGAGATGTGCTCCCGTGAGAGTATAAGTAAACGTCTGCATAATTTCGAAACTTATTACAATGCGCGGCAGTTTGTTAAGTTGCATTTAAGCCCTTAACAAAGTAATCTTGCGAACAAAGTTTCACGATAACGCTTATTACGATGTGCCCCGAAAATCTTCTCTGCTTCACTTTTCGAGAACGATACTCGCCATTGACAGCGAGAGGGAATTATCCCGGTGTAAGCTGCAATATTGTTCGCAAAACTATTTCAATAACAGCCTCGTACGTTTCGCAACGCCGCTAAGCTTGGCTATAATCGCGTATCTTCTTGTGTGCTTGTAAAGTTCTGTATGAACCACAAAAAAATTTCGTGATTTATGAGAAATAACAACAGAGACGATTAAATTTGTAGCAAACGATATAATATAACTCACTATCTACAGGAAAGTGGATGTTATACATTCTGCTTCTTGTAATTAGTTTGCACCGAGTATAATAAATAAGTGATAAGTTAGTGAAAGAGCATTTATAATTATGTTTTGATTATTACAATTATTATAATAGCCACGTTGTAGTTATATAGAGTGAAAAAAAAAGCAATGACAACCGTTATGCCGTGTAATCAGTGCGTTAAGATATGCTCTCGTGAGTAAAATGGTCGCGAAAGATACGCGAAGATTTTGAAGCGAGATACTTTTTATCCCAGAAATTACCGAAGAAATTTGGCTCTCAAATCTAGACTATCGTATATCCGACTTTCATATCTATTTCACTCCATTACCATGTTAGCAACGAAATGTGCAAGTTCGCTTTGCTCTCGACGAATGAAAACGCCTCCTCCTGCGATGTCTATGCTTTTATCATACTTTTGCAAGCGACAGTAATGAGAAATAACGTTAGTTCCGCTTAGTTTGACTCTTCGAACGAATTTCTACGCTACTCTCGATCGAAGGGTGGGTGGGTGGGGGAGGGGAGGTATCCGTTGAGCGCAATTATGGTCTCTAATTGGGATTTTATCGTCAAATGAGATAACTCGTTTCCTTGATAATTGGTGGAGAGTGCTCTGTAAAAGTATAATTACGTTAAGAGACTTTGCGACTCATTTCGACGACTTAAAATTTTTCTTTGAATTTAGACGGTTGTTATAATGAGCTGTGGGTACGAAACCGTAATCAATTACACGTGTAATGCTGGGTATATCGATCGCGTGTACTTCGTCTTTATGATTGCCTGTATATTGGTTTTGACGACAATTCTGTTTACAATTTTGTTCTTTCGGCTGTAATTTTGCGATCGAGATGATGCTACAAAAATTACAGGGCATATACAAATTCTTTTAATTTATTCCTTTTAATTTAGATTTTTATTAAGAGAACGCGGAATGCATATCGAGAATGTATGCATTTTTTAATGATTATCCGTGCGTTTGGTTGTTTCCATTTTATTCATGACATATATCTTTTTTAATCAATGCAGCTCCACCTTTCGCTGCTCGGTAATCTTATGGAACAACTGATTCACGGGGCATGCAAAGTGAATTCCTTTCTGTGTTGTACTCTTTATTTTCTACTACGCGACGTCCTAGAATACTGCAGGTTACTTGAAACCGGTTACAACATAATGCGCTTTCGCACTTCTTGTGCCGCATTCCACTCTCGTTATACAAGGTGGCAAGAATACACGTAAACGTCATAAATAAACTTTGCGAAGTATATTTAAACGATTATATCAAAACGTTCGTATTAAATCGAATGATTATTCGCAAAGTAGACGATAATAGTATAAGATATACAAAATATTCTCTGCCTTAAAAAAGGAGAATAATTATATTCTTCTTTATCTGAAAAAAATGGGATATAATTTTTTAAACATTTACAATTAATTATAATACTTGCGATAATTATAAATACTTAAGCTTTAATATAATTATATTTTTATATTACGAATGTAAATATTAGAGACTTCTTGAAATATCAATAAACTTGCGGTAGTAATTTTATGTGAAAAATTAAAATGTTTCCTCTTTGACTACTTATTCAGGTCACTCTGTAGGTTTGTAGTCCGTATGCAGTCACTCTATATGCGGGTATAACTTGTTTACGCAGCCAAACGTGGCAAAGGTAGGATGATGCAGAACTAGGTACCAGCGTACTTGATAATCTTGGTACGTAGTAATATTTCGCAAATAATATCCCTGTGGCACACGAACTACCACGCAACCGACCGATTTTAATGAAGAGTTTCGCGTGCGGCAGATTAAGTGTCTCGCGATTCTAATCGTCTTTAATAAGGTGGTGTCGCGGAAATTTGTTACGGTTGCACCGGTCTCGGTGGTAGAGAGATACGCTCGATACCGAAAGCAGGTGTGCAGCGATAACACGATACTCCAGGCTACCTGATGAATTTAGAAGGAAATTAACGTTCAATGTTATCAATTAACTTTATTAAATTTTTTTTTCTTTCTCAGCTGTTTTTAATTTTAATTAATAATAAAATTTCACATCTTTGTTAAAATGAAAGTTACGTAAATATCGGAAAAAATTGTTTTAATTTACATTTTTAGAATTCCATTTTATTGATACTTTTTATAATTAAGTAATAGAGAGAAAAATATTTCTACATAATTATTCTGAAGGAAGCTGCTTTCCCTTTTTATTTGCTTGCTAATACCTATCTAATATCTGGTTTAAAGAAGATGCACGGTTTTTGAAATACCCTTTATAATATGAGCGTGGAACTCGTCGGCTGGCATCAGCCGGGAAGAATGCATCTGTCGCGAGAACAATACGTGTCACTCCGGCACATTTTACTCATGTCGGTTTCGCGTTTATCGCAGAAATTTATCCCTGAAAAACGGAAAAAAACTACTGCTTGGCACGTGTGCGAAACGCGGTGCGCTTTATTCTTCTGAAAGCGGCGTATTCGCAAGCGAACGGTATCCTACCTCACGGATACCGCCAGTTATTCGTCTCTCGGTGGACTCAAATACGGACCGCAGCTGCGAAACGAGATGTGCTTCGCCGCGTGTGCGGTCCATTGATTTCGCGAAATGAGTTACTCGCGAAACAGTTTCGCGCGCAAGTGGACGCGTCGTTCTTCTCCGCGTTACAGGGACCACCTCTTGACTTCTCATTTCCGGCATCATCGGTAACATCGCGACCCTCATAAGTAATCGACAGAGAGAGAGGATGTCGGTCCGTTTCCTACCTATCAATCCTTATAGCAGAAATTGCTGCAGTTTTGCGACCGGCAACCAGAAACGAAGGACTACGATGGCTAAGATAGAATCTAATACGGAAACACGATGCCGAAGAGTCCGGTCGTTCTATTATGCGTCCTCCGTCGTGGAAAATATTGCACTCGCAGAATCCGGAGCACTCGGTCTTATCTAGGTCTTTGTATTCGAATCACGACATTGCGGGCGCGTATAAATTGATATATTTATTCAATTTATTGAATCTCGTTTTATTGTGATTTTTTTTATCGTCTTATTTGCATTTATAGACATCTCTATACTAAAAATGCAAACAAGCTGATAATAATTTATAGAGGAGCGGAATTTTTTTAATCAAGACATTTTAAATCGAGTTCAGTCTAATTTCTTATTGTAAATTTTGAAATGAATGGATTTTTATGTTACGGTAACCTAATGTATTATAATTAATTTTCGTGGTAAATGCGAGCGTGTACAAGCGTTGTACAGAGAAATCTGAATGTGTACATCGACTCGCCTGGAACTTTTGCCAATTTTTGGGAAAAGCGAATCGCTGCTGCACGTGAGACTGTGAAATTCTATGAATTCCCGAAAAGTTTGCGCTATGCCGCATTACTTCTCAACTATCCGGTTCGCCGCATCAGACTCATCGAAAAGTTTCGCCGACGCAGAAAAGCAAACACGCAGACGACGACGGCTTACTCTTAAAAGCCTGCGGAACGAGCTAAGCAAAAGCGGGAGGAGAATTCCATCAACCTGCGCGAAAAACCAATATCGCGCACGTGCCACGTTCTCGAACGTAGATCCAACCGTTCTTTACGACGCATTCTGCAGGAAAATCTCGTTGCACTCGCCGCGGTTATTTGTAGAATTCAATGTGCAATGATGCGAAGTGCTCTCAGGAGACCGCCGCGGCTCCCTCAAAATTCTATCGTATATTTTTGCCGGGAAAACCCGTCGACGCTGGATCTTCCTGTTTATAATTCTGTTCTCTATTTAACTTATTCCGATGACCGCGTTGTATCACAGATATATGGGGAGCTGTTTTTATTTACGTCAAAAAATGTAATTGGAAATAGAAAAATAATACATCAACTTTATATTTGATTAATGAATGTCGAAATGTATTATTGATTTATTATTTTCTGTTTTCGTAAAATAAAATCAAATTATATTTTAATTATCGTTGTTAGTAAAGCTTGAAGTAATCAAGTGAAAATAGAGGAAGAAAGTGCTCCAAAACATAGAAAATTCGAAATTGAACGAAATGAGGCAGCAATTTAAACATAGCATCTCTGTTTAGATGTCGATTATT